ATAATAATATTACATTTCAGAATTAATAGTAATATTAAAATAAATGCATTTTATTTAAATTAATATTAATGATGAAATTTAATAATATTTTTTATATTGTATTAAATTACAGAATTTAATAATATTATTAAACGTTGTAATTAATATTTATTTATCTTACGTTTTTAAGCCAAAAATGTAAATAAATAAAGCTCAAATAAATACTGAATATTAATGATGAAATGTTGTCATATTATTTATATTGTATTGAATTACAGCATATAATAACATTATTAAAAATTGCAATTAATATTTATTTATCTTAGTTTTTAAGTTTTCAAGCCAAAAAATGTAAATAAATAAAGCTAAAATAAATATTGAATATTAATGATGAAATGTTGTCATATTATTTATATTGTATTGAATTGCAGCATTTAATAACATTATTAAAAATTGCAATTAATATTTATTTATCTTAGTTTTTAAGTTTTCAAGCCAAAAAATGTAAATAAAGCTAAAATAAATATTGACTAATAGTGATGAAATGTTGTCATATTATTTATATTGTATGGAATTACAGCATGTTATAGCATTATTAAACGTTGTAATTAATATTTATCTTTTAATATTTATATAAATATTTATCTTTTTAAGTTCTTGAGATTTATTTCTTAATCGCATTTAATTGTGTCCTCTGTTCTATATTTGCAGAAGTCAAAAGCAGAACCGAAAACGGTGAAACTGGGTGACTTAGAAAACGACTTAGAGGTAGAAGTTTAATTGATGTACACGCATTAAATGCCTGATTCTTCTCCAACATTGGAAAGCAATAATTGGTTTTGTTTTGATCATAAGGACGACAGTTTCACAAGTTCTTCTGTTGCTGAGACTGGAACATTTAAACCAAAGGTAAACTTCCTGTGACCTAATATATGAAATATTTGCGGATAGTAGATTAATAGATCATCATTTCTTTGTTTGCCAAAGGATCATGTGATTTCAACAACTTGGAGGGACGGACCATATCTGCTGGTGGTTAAGATTAATCCAAGCAGACAAGATGTGAACTGGAATTTAACCGGTAGGCCTAATTCCTTTATCTATTTTTATCATACAGTTAAAGTCAGAAATATTTGCCTTCCTGTGAATATTTTTCTAATATTTCCCAAATGATGTTTAACAGAGCAAGGATTTTTTTCTCAGTATTTTCTATAATATTAATAAGAGAAAGTCTTATCTGTATTATCTTATCTGTTGTATTTTGGCTAGAATAAAAGCAGTTTTTAATGCTTTTAAAAGCATTTTAAGGTCAATATTATTAACCCCTTAAGCAATATTTTTTAAATTGTCTACAGAACAAACCACCATTGTACAATGACTTGCCTAATTACCCTAACCTGCCTAATTAACCTAGTTGACCGAGTTAAGCCTCAAAGTTTGCATTTTAAGCTAAATATAAGCATCTTAAAAAATATCTAGCATTAGAAATGAGTTATTGAAACTATTATGTTGAGAAATGTGTTGTTAAACAGAAATTGAGATGAAATATATACAGGGGGGCTACTAATTCAGGAGGGCAAATAATTCTGACTTCAACTGTATTTGTATGAAAATGTATCTGTGTTTCAAAGTGATTGTGTATACTGAATTTTATCTAACGTGTGTTTCAGTCAGTGTTGTGATGATGGGAGCTCACGGTTATCTTTCTGTCACTGAATGGCCTCTCATGATCGTAAGTGGTTCAGATGCTCATTTCATTTGTGGAACTTTGTTTATCAGTGCGATATGTGTTACAAAAATACCAATTAGGGCTAAACATTGTGATATTTTGTTATTCTGCGATATATTGCAATATGAATTCAGTTTCATTGAATACGCTATATGCAGAGCTTGTGTTTCTTCCCATACCGTTAAATTTACGGTAAACGGTTAATGTGACTGTTTTTAAAATTGAATACAATTCTTTTTACAGCATCAATGTAGTAATGTAATTAAAATAATAGTAGTTAAATAGACTTATGCTTTCATTTGTTGATCAAGTTTAAAACGAGACGAATAGCCGTTTACAGGCACGCATCGTCAGGATCAGCAGGCTAGCACAGAAGCTCCATTGAATATACTGGGGTAAATAATTGTTCATATTTTAAAGACATGGCTCAATTTTTTATTTAATATACAGGGAGTCCGTGGGGTTGTAAAAAGTAGTACATGAAATTAAGCAAAATTAAGGGCAATAAAAAGTATTGTCATCTGACCAGGTATTACATTTTCGAGCCCAATTTTTTAGATAACTTTTTAATTTGTGTTAAGTGCAGGCCTTTATTCTGAAATTTGTGTGGATTTATTTATATGTTGAGAGTAGGACCTGAATGATATCATGTGAAGTGGTTTGGTAGTTTGGCAACAGAGTTGCGACATAAACACACCAGGGGCCTGTTCTTTGTAGGTGGATTACTCAGGTAGCTGGATTTGGATATTGGCGATTTGACACGATCCAGGATCGTTTCATTCTTCAAACCTGATCCGAGAGTTGTTGTCATAGCAACAGTTCTGCTAGCTCAAACCTGGTCGGAAGCAGGTTCAATTCATATAAACAGGATTAGATCGGGTCAGTTCAAGCAAAGATAATACAGAAAGTATGCACCGAATTCTGATATTTTTTTTTACAGTAGTAGGTATATACACTTAGAATAATAGTAAATATATTTTAACTATATGTATGTATATATATATATATGTATCTGCACCAACGAAATGAAAGTAGAAAGACTGCCACCTGGTGGTGCAAAGACAAAACCTATCGATATGAACTTATCATATACATATATATATATATATATATATATATATATATATATATATATATATATATATATATATATATATATATATATATATATATATATATATATATATATATATATATATATATATATATATATATATATATATATATATATATATATATATATATATATATATATATATATATATATATATATATATATATATATATATATATATATATATATATATATATATATATATATATATATATATATATATATATATATATATATACATACATACAAACATATACCCATATAATTTTTTTAAATATTGTGCATGTGCAGCCCTAATCCACAATAATCACATCATAAGATATGCAATGCTGAGTTGAATTTGCAGAGTATTTTTCATATTTACATATACAAAACCAGAATGCATGCACTGTTTATTTTTACTTTTAACTTTACCTTATTGCATTTATCTATGCTTGTAGTTTGGTTATTACATTTTAGGCATGATCAGTCAAAATGAATACAGTTGTTAATAGGGACCAATTCCCCCTATCAACATGCATGTTATTGCAATATTGACTGCTTATTAGTATTTATAATCTACATAATTGCATGATCATATTCTACATCCTTAACCCAATACCTAAACTACCTGAATATCTATTAAAAAGAAGCAAATTAGGAGTTTCTTGAAGCAATTGTCATATTTAATGGTTTGCTAATAGAGAGAATTGAACCTTAAAATAAGGTGTCACTATAAATTCTTTTCAAATCGTGCTATTCAATCTTTTTGTGAAATTGTACAGATACAGTATATCACAATCATAGAAAAATAAAATATCTCAATGTGCAATTTTTCCAAAATCTTGCAAGCCTAATACATTGAAAACAAAATATAAATTGCTTTATAGATTAGTGCATATATATCAGGACAAATGAGGTGCTATTTAAGTATTTAAATTGCAAATTATTTAAGTCTTTGTGGAAATTCTTTCTGGCACGTTTGTACTGCACCATAAATGGTAGTATTACAGTATATCCAGATTAATGATTATACATCCAAGACCCTATGCAAAGCAGCAAGGTGTTGAAAAACCAATAGAACATCTGTTACTGTTTGCCACATGACAGCAGGAGGAGGCATTTTACAGCCTAATAGTCATAAATGTTTAATGGTTTATGTGCTAAAGATTTTCCTCAGTGTACATGAATTTGTTTTGTATGGTGTTTAAGACTCTTTGTCATCTACCTGGGACGCTAGATTGTTCAAATGACCCGTTCAAAGTCTTATCAAATATTTAAAGGCTTGTCTAATTTTTCCACTGAGGTTTCTAGTGGCTGCCACTGTAAGACAATGCCATATCGCACCGATGTAAATGAGTAGAGTAGAGCTGCACGATACTGGGAATAGGCATGGGCCGGTATAAGACTTTGACGTTTTGATAACCTTGGATAAAAATTTCACTGTTTCACGGTTTGACAGTATTGTGATTACAACTCCAAAATATATTCTTTTTAAATGTCTGGGTCAAAACAGGTTTTCTTCAGGTTTCATCATGTCAAATTTTAAACTTTTCAAGACCGTTTAACTTTTTAAGGACCGTTATCAATGAAATTTCAGACTATCGCAGGGCAAAATGCTAAGAATTTTCTGTAATAACCAGTGGATTTTTTTTACTTGCCCAATTAATATTCAAATTAATTTATTTCTTTATTTTCTTGAGTCAAAAAAAGCAAACTCTAGTTATATAAATATATTTTTATTAGCACAACCTTTCTTAAAAAAAGACAAGTTTTAAAAGCTATAATAAACTAAATTTATGCACAACATAAATATTTTTTTTAAAAATGTAATTTTGTTTTCTAATGTTCAATAAAATCTCTTCAGAATTCTTAGGTCTAAATTAAAGTTAATATTTATTTTAAGGGGTAACTACACCTTTAGCTTCTTAATTATTTTATAATGCTGATTAAAAAACTAATTTGTTGGTGTCATTTATTTATTCGACACTGATATACTAATCTAAAAGCTTTCTGAAAATCAAATCGAAACAGAATATTCCTCACAATGCAATGTAGCATAAACAATATTCAATTAAAGACAATCAACATAAATGTATGCAAAAGACATGAAAACATGGAGAACCTTGTTATTTTAAAGATGTAAAGAAGACAATTAAACCATATTGCTAAAGAGTTAATAAATGTTAATTTTGTTAAACATTTTTTTTAGATGGATTTATTGGTTGTACTGATTCACTATTGCTTCACATGGACCATTTGTGAAAATTATGACCTGTTTAAAAGTATTTAAGACCCACAACAGCATATTTCAGTGAATTTGTTTTGGGCCTTAAATTTATTTTTTGAAATTTAAGACCTTTTAAGACCCAGCGAACACCCTGAAAAAACTAAAACTTTTTTCCCCTTTGAACACAATGTATTCTATTTTGACAAACATTTAAAATATTTCGGAGCAATAAACATGCAGGCTGCTCTCTTCGTTAGTTTCCAAAACACAGATTTCATTACAATTTAACGTAGCATCTTCTGATATTTTTTTTCTGCTGTCGATACTGGTTTTCTGAAAAGCTGAAAATAAAAGTAAAATAATAAATCTTTCCCATACTTTAGGAACAGTATAGCAGAAAATGTGGCGGTTTTAAAACCTTGACTTTTCCAAACCGTTGAAAACGGTTATCGTTCCATGCCTTACTGGGAACACATGCAATATTGTTGCTGAGTATTGCAGTAAATATATTTCATACGATATACCATTTCAATATAAAAATGCAATTTTTATTAGATTAATTATTTGTAATGATTTTAAAATAAACAAACAATATTTTTCAAATCTAATTAATTCTAATTCAGAATAAAAAAGGCGTCAAGGTGCAAACATTTAGTCTTTAAAAATATTATGAATGAATCAAAAGCTCCAGAGATATTCTGTCTCTGATTGGCTGTTGTCATTTTATTCTCTCGTCTCGACTCCGCCTATTAGTTTTTATTTTCAGCTCTATATTCACATGTGGGCGGCTCCAGCCAACAGCAGCTACTGGGAAGAAGGGGATAAAGATAGTAAGACCCCATCCGATTGGTCAAATTTAGATAAACAAGAAATGCATAAAATAAATGTAACTCATCGCACTTGTCTGCGATACGTTAGCATATTGTTTTATTGTGATAACAGTAGTTTTACAATATATTACAGGGCTTGAAATTATGACTGTTTTGGTCGCATATGCACCAAATTTTTTTTTATGCGACCTCAAAATATATTTGGGAGCATTTATTTGAGTGCATGAAATTGTTGCCGTGCGACCGATTTTCACTGCAAAATGTTCACCGAATGCGCAGGTTTAGGAGACATTCATACAGAATTCACATTTGCACCATGAAACGCAGCGCTCAGGAATGGTTTAAATCAGTTGACATGTTAACTTGTTGAAGTAAACAAAAGCCCACAATGCTTGCCCCGTCTTTGTGTTCTTATTGGCCCACTGCTCTGTAACTAAACGAAAACTGATTGGTTAATATCAGCTGTCAATCCCTTAGTCAATGGCTTCTGCCTTTAGATGATGGAGATATGACCACAAAAATGTAAAGCGCTGAAGATGAGAATGGAAACAACACTGACAGATTTGGTTTTAGAAACCACCTAAAGTTATAAATAATGACACGTTTTATTAGTGATCATGTGCTGAATATTAATCCACCATTTACACTATTTGAAGAGTGGATAAAAGACTTTCATTGGGTTAAAGTCCTCTATGAAAATGACTAAAGCCATTTACCGTAAAGTCTGAGGGATAGGGTTTGCCACAGCTACACATTTTAAGCGTGAGAGGTTCTATTAACATTTCTATTCTATTTAAATCTGTAATTGTAACGCTTGTAGTAACTGTGCTTAATGTTTTGTGGTTGCGAC